TGGATGGATGGATGGATGGATGGATGGATGGATGATGCTTGTAGCAACCACCTTTTGCTGGTTCCCAAGCCATGCCCTGGGACTAAATATGCAAACTCGCATCTAGACTAACGGATATGTTGTATATTTGTCTTTCTTTCTGTTCAGGTTGTTGCAAGAAGGAACTAGTGTAAACACCCGACATAAACTTGGCTGGACTGCTCTGATGGTAGCAGCGATAAACAGAAATTCAAGGTAGGTAATTGAAAATATTAGAACTAAATGAACAATCCCCAAATTCACGCAAATGGCAGCAGAATTGAAAGAAAATTCATAGGCCAGAAACATTCTGGTGAAAAGTATCTCATCGGGCCTTAGCAGATAAAGAACATCCTAGGCTAGAAACTGAAATTGTGTTCAGAGGAAACTGTCCGGCTTTCCCTGGCAAAAATTCCAGAACCGCCAAACGGAATGATTTCAAGGTTTCAATATCCTGGGCATTCTGCTTCCGCTGGTATCAGAGGATGGTGACCAATAATGTCATTAATGGGTGGGTTGATGAATACTGACAATAATTAACGAAAGATTATAAAGTGGGCTCTGCTCATGAAAAGTTATGGCACGATCACTTTAAGGCCCATGGGTCGTGTTTTTTTATGCTGGCTGGGGAATTCTGGGAGTTGAAGTCCATACATCTTAAAGTTGCCAAGTTTGAAAAACACTGTTTCAGAACACAGAGTTTTGCATGGCCAGAGACAATATATTCATTTACTTAAAGTCTAGTGGATCCTGTGGGTGCTGTGGTTCCTGCCTCCGCTGCTGCGGTGGTTATGGCTTTACTGAGGCCCATATTTCTGTCAGTGTTGCCCACTGGCCTGTAAGCTTTTTCTCTTGGGTCTCTCCTGCTTATAGGCATTGGATTGATCGGCTTGCTGTGAGTGAAAATCAGGAAGTGGTGGTGGTGATGGTGGGCCCCCCTCAAATGAGAGCGGGGGGGGGCATTTCTGGCCACTGAGGTTCTAACCAGAAGTATCTACATGGAAAGAGGAGAGCTAAATCATTTGTGGTGGGTGGGTCTGGGCAGGTGGGATTAAGGAAGGGGACAGGAGAGCATGTAGCAGTGGTGGTGATGGATGGAGTGGGGGGAGGGTGTAGAATGCTATTGGGAGGCAGAAGGGCGAAAGTGGCCCTAGAGCAAGAGCTGGGACAGCCTTTGAATGACCTGGCTCTGGCCCTAGGCCTGGGGTTAATGTGCTGGTGGGGCCCCTGTTGTGGTTTATTGTTACTGTCATGGTTGTTTTTAGTCCGGGCTGTCTGTGTTGTTTTATGTTTTTAACTGTTTTTACTGTTTCTTCAGATTTTATAACCCACCCAGAGTCTACTGGAGGGGGCGGCCATAACAAATTTAAGATGATCATGATCATGATGATCATAATGATGATGATATGTTGGGACTTGTACTGCAAAGGAGATGGGCACAGTACAAAGATAAAAGTGATGTCAGGGTGAGAATTAAATTAATAGCCTACCCCTGATTTAGCCAAAACGGTCTTTGTGCTCAGTGGCCCAGACTGTCCAGGATTTGAGAAAATGGTCTCTTTCAGTCCTAGCTGGAGATGCTCTGCCTGCAGCCCTTAGGCAGGGCCAGGCCTCTTCCAGGGAGTCTGGATGCCCGACTGCAGCTGCTAGTCCCTTCTCTCCTCCACCGGCACGGAGACTGGCCACTACAAAACTTTTTGCGTTGAAAAGGAAATTTACCAGCTCTGGGTATTAGAAAGAGGGCTGAGTAATGATCTGATCATCAGAGTGGTTGCTACTTGCTGGTAAACTGTCAGGATTTAGTGGCAGTTCTGTAAACTCTCTGCCGGAGAGTGATCTGCTTTCATGTTTGTTCCCCGTTTTCCTGGACTGGAAAAGCGGTGAGGGCCCTGCCCTAACATCCCTTAGGTTCCCAGGACAATCATTCTGCCTTTAAAGGCAGCTCTTCCATGCATTTGGTCCACAACTAAATTCAATTAGTTTTTATTTAAAGATGAAGCAAAAGGGGGAGAAAGAAATCCAATTTTGGGAAACGTGGGACAGCCAGTTGGAAGGGGCTTTGATGTTGCAACCTCTCAGGGGCGCTTTACTTAGTCACAAGTTCATAAGTCAAAAAAGCTTAATGATTTGGGAAAACACAGGATTAAACTGGCAGACAAAGACTGAATATCCGCTCTCGGGCGAGACAATACGAATCCATGTGCCGAGTTCGTGTGTGGTGAAAACTTTGATGTGTGCTATGACAAGCTGAAAGTCATGACCCCTTTGGGGAACTCCTTAAGAAGGGCCAAGAGGCGGGAGCCTTGAATCTGTTTGTTTAACTTTGATGTCCAAACAGCAACAGGTTCTCTTATTTACATGGCTGTGGAAGAATGGGTTTAGCACCCCCCCGCTGCACTTTTTACCAGTGGACAATGGTCAGCAATGGAGTGTGACAATTGTTGACCATTCCAAGTGACCAGTGGAGCAGAACAAGGTTTTTGGAGGTGCAGAGACTCGGAAAAGACAAGGAGAAAGGCTGTTCATGCTACAGTAGTTGTCGCAGATGGTCCTTCACCCCAGCCTTTTCCCAGTTTCTCTGCAGAAGAAGCATTCCCTTGTCATTTAATTCTGCCTGATTCAACCCGTGTGGTTAAGATCTGCACCAAATGTTTGTGGCAGGGGCTATTTAATCTAATTACCTTCTAGCTTTTCTCTTAAAAAAAAAAAAAAAACCAATGTCCTTGAAAAAGTGGTACTTGAGAATATACTAATAGGGTTATTTAATACATCACCCCATGAAATGGGAGGAAAATGCATTCCTCTTCCGTCACTGTCCCCAGGATCGTGATGAAGGTCGACAGGGCCCACTGTCTCTTTTCGATTCTCACTGGATCTCTCGGCCTTGAACGATTCCTGTGCCAGGCACCTTGAGGATGCTGTTGCGCATTCAGATACCCAGGGAAGACCACGGGCTGGCTGCTTGGTTGCTGGCTTCTCGTGGTCATTGTTACTGAAGAGCGTACAGTCTTTTGTTGCTGGCTGTCAGCTGAAAGCAAGGCGATTTGGGGAATTTTGTTGTTCCAGCGTTGCGGCTTGGACCAGAAGTCTTGGGACTGCAGTTTACAAACTTCCCAGCCAGCATTGCCTCCCTCCCATTCCTGGAGATTCCAAGCTGGGTAAAGGTGTACTGTGGGGTACCAGATTGAGAAAAAATCCCATTTGCTTACCAGACTTCTTCTGCTTCGTCCTTGTTACTCAAAACACAGGGCCAGCCACTCCCTACCTTCAGTCGCCCTTTTTCCTTGAGATTCTGGCGTTCTGGTGCTCTTTCCTGCCCTGCCCCCATCTTCCTTCTGCTTCTCATAGAGGTGGTGGGTGCCTCTGCCTTTGCTGGCACATGCAATTACGGTAAGAAAAACCAGAGCGTGCGATCTGGGCACCCGCTATAGGCACGAGGGACACGAGATAAGCAACAGCTTTTCTTGCGTAAGCAGGTCAGAGGACTGCCTGGTCGGCCGGCCCACCTCACAACTGAACGCATTCCCCTTCCTGCCCCTTTGGCACACTGGACCTCCATTCCTTCTGCTCTCTTTACGGTGGGTTATAAGGCGGCCTAAACTGCTGCTTTATTCTGACAGCAAGGATAAGTGAGAAAAGGATGCGTTCGGTTGGACCAAGAGGGTGCGTAGCATAGTGGCAGAGGAGTTGGCCTAGGAGTGGGGAGGCCCAGGCTCAAGCCCACTGTCAGCCACGGAAGCTCCCTTGGTGACTTTGGGCCGGGCACTCTCTCTTAGCCCAGTCTACGTCACAGGTGCTGGTTGTATGGGAAAAGTAGAGCGGGAAGTGCTACAGATGCGCACCATGAAGCTCTGGGGGAAAGGTGGGATAGCAGTCTCACAAATGAAACAGCAGTAGCAGCAGCTCTGGAATCCTCGTGCTCATTCCAGGCCACCTGAGACCAGGGGTCTGGGGCTGGGGCGTGTCCTAATTCTGCCCCAGGGTGGAAGGGGCTGTGGGGTTCTCCCCCTTCCTGCTGAGGACTGTTGGGCCACTTGTGGAGAGGTTGGATACTGGCTCCCAACTGCTCTGGCCATGGAGGTTGAGCAGATGATGGGAATGCTCACAGGTTGGGGGAGGAAGGGGCAGGAGCACAAGAGGGGGAAGGTTGACTTGAAGTCAATATATAATTAATATGTAATTATCTGCCTCCTTTTGTTAGGCTTGTCCACTGGGGTTCACCTTTGCCGGGGGCTCCCTCGGCTCAGCCTCCCGGGCAGCTGGCGCACCATCCGCAGTGCACACACTCTGAGCTTCCTTGCAAGCTGCCCCCCGCCCCAACTCATCCAGCCCCCACTCGCAGCAGAAAGCACTTACTGTCATTGATTTAACTGCCTGGTGAACTTTAGTTAAAGGCTGCCCTCTGGGGTCAACGCAGATTTATATGTGTGCAGATGAGCGGCATTGCTGCTAATGCAATTAAGGCCCGATCAGCAAATTAAAGGCCTAGTTGGGTGAGGCGATGGAGCAGCCGCTCAGTCACCCATTATTGAAGCTGACGAGGCTGCCTGCTTCATAATGCCTCTGGCAGGGCCCCATCGCTGCAGGACTTCCGTTTGGGGGTACACCTGTCCAGGCGGTGTCCCCGTTCTTCCATTCCCACACAGAGTGTCCTGGAGTCCCTGCAGGGCTTAGGGTCATGATGCACAAGAAGATGAGAAAAGCTGGGGGGGCGTTCCCCCTTGTTTAACATTTTGTGTGTCTCCGTATTTTCATTTTTGTGCTATGAAATGGGTTCAGTTCACAGTTTGATGCAAAAGTTTTTGTGTCTGTGATAAAAATTAATCCTACCTGAATTGGTCTGTGGTAAGGGGAACAAAATCCATTATGTCTTTATGAGGGCTAAATAAATTGATCAGAAAAATGTGCAGGCTTTTCAGTTCTCCAGAACTCTTCTCAGGAGCCCTTCTGCTCTGTTCGCAGTAACCTGGATTTTCTAGAAGAATGACCAGAAGTTTCTTTTTAGGCAGCCAGTTTGGTTCATGTTTGTCCTTCTCAGCTGAATACTCATTTTCTGTGGTTGGACGTTTCTTCTCTCCTAAGCAGTGGAAAGGGACCTCAGTTTTAGAAATGGAGAAACAAAAGACCTGACTCATACGGCTTGTTCTTTTTTTTGCTGCTTGCTCAAATACATGCCCACAGACTTCTTCTTTCTCTTTAAGCATTCTGGTTGTAAATTCTTGTTTTTAATTGTTTAGTTGTTGCCATACTCTTACAAGCCCTTCCAGGTGCCCACTGGGTTTCTGTGGCTGGATGTAAATACAATAAACCCACAAGAATGGCTTTTTAATGGCTGACCCGCTCCTCCCCCAGCTTTGCAAAGGCTAATTTCACTTGGAAGCTGGACTATGTTTTGTTACCTGCAAATTGGACAGGAGCGATCAATAGCTGCGATCCCTCAAATGTCAAGCTGGCTGGGCAGGAGGGAAAGGCGGTGGCGCAGGCTGCCTGAAGGATACGGCCTGGCATTTGGTTGGGACGTTCGGCTGAAGGGCAGCCGGCGGGGAGGACAGGCGGGTGGGAGGGCCATTTCCGGACCCCTCGTATGGAGATCGGCCTGTTCCGGCCACCTGCATGGAAGTGGGCTGGGTCCACGTGGCAGGAACCGGGTCTGCATCCGAGGGAAGTAGAGGCTGCTAGAGCCTCTATCCACCCTCGCCTTCGTTAGAGCACAGTGCAGGAATTACCACCCTCTTGAACAGATTAAGCCACCTTAAAAAAAACAGCACTGCTTTTTATTATATTTATCAGGAATAATTTTTTTAAAATATTGAGGCAACGTTCAAGGTTATTATATGAAGCAGTTTTAAAATAAACAGTACCAGTGTATTTAAAAGAAGGCTTCCTTACATTTTTTTTCTTCAGACTGAAGGACTTCAGTCGAAAGTGGCTGTGTAATTTATCATTCTTTCTTGGGGGCAGGTCCACGCTCCCTCTCTCACCACCAGTAGGGCCCTGCTCGTCCCACTAGGCCTTCCCTCCACAGAAGCTGGTTGGGTGTCCTGGCTCCCAGGCAGCTCCCCCGACCACACCGGATAGGCAGTTCCTCTCCGGGCTGCAGAGGAGAATTCCCGTTTTGCTTTCTTTGGGCCAACCTGCTGCTGCCAGATTCCCTCCAGAGAGGTGGGACTGCAGCTCACATAATTCCCAGCCGTGACCACGTCCACGCTTTGGAAATGTTACTGGTCTTGGAAGTTGATTGTTGCTCTTATCTGGGGGGCCTCCAGATTAGAGGACCTAAAAGTTGCAGAGCTGCAAGGCATATGGCTGCGGGCAGTCTCCGTGGCAGCGTAGCACTTAGTTGGTGGCCATGAGAACAGATCCCAGGTCAGTTAACCTCCAAGTCTGAGAATGATACCCTTAGAAAAGTAAGCGTGTGTGTGCGCGTGCACATGCGCGCAGAATGGTTCATCTTTCCAGGATCCTATTCTTCAGGGCTGCCAAATCTTTCACTTTCAGCATTACCTGTGTGGAAGCCACCTGCCCACCTTCACACCTTCCCAGTTCTCCCAGAGCAAGATCTCACTCCCTGATGTCTCAGAAGCACCAGCGGAGCTCTTGTCTGAAACCGGGGGGTGATGGTGGTGGAGATGTTTTGGACCCCGTGTTTCCCTGCTGCAGGTTTGGCTGTGCAGAGCCTAACCTTTTGATCCGGAATTGCTGTTTTTCCTCTCCCTCTTTCTCAGAGATCGTTTGTTCCCTTTTCCAGCCTCTGTAAGGGCTTCGTGGATCCGACATAAGCATCTTTTCTTGCTGTTCTTTCTCAACAGCATGGTGAAGCTTCTGCTTGCGGGTGGAGCTGATCCAAACCTGGGGGATGAGTTCAGCAGCGTCTATCAAACTGCCAAGGAGAAGGGGATCCATTCTTTGGAAGGTAAAAAGATTCTGTTGTTTTTTCCTTGTCAGGACCCCTGGAGTGCTGTGCATTTTTTCCTCGCTGTCTTCCTCTGAAACAATGCAGTTAGAAGCATTGGTTCAAACTCTAGCTTTACCTGAGGCCTCCACCATGCCTTTAGGGGTGTCTTTGTCTTTTTTTTCCCCCCCTGCAAGCACATATCAAGGCTTGAGGATCCAAATCTCACAAATAGAAACCCATTTTCCAGATTGCTTAAATTATGCTGGAGATTTTGGGATGGAGCTACTCAGCTGGTTGCTTCTCACAGCCAGCCTCCTCTCGGCACACAACAGAAAGTTGGCCCGTTTTCTCTAGGCCTCTGGTGAAGCACCCCCAGCCGTCTCAGTCCAGAAAGTAGTCAGAGCAAAGGCAGTCTGCTCAAACAGCTTTTCCGCATCCTGCATGTTCAGAAGCATTGCTCTGTTGCCCTGGCCGCTGAGGGGTAGTGCTGCGGAGGGGAACTCAGGCAGCAGATTCTCACTGGGGCAGCTTTCTGCTACCCAGGATCCTGCTGACCCTTTGGGATTTCAGGTCCCATCATTGCCAGCCAGTGGGAAGAACGAGAACTTTAGAAGTGGTGCTCCAGCCCCTCTGGAGGACCCCAGGTTGGATATGGCTGCATTAACTGTTTTTCTTGAGCTGGTTTCTTCCTTTCCAATATTTGCTTTGCAAACGTTGGAGCTTTAACGTTTACCTAAAAACATCAGGCTTTGGGTGAATTTACCTGTATGAGCCTGTGGCTCCAGATCGGACGGGCGTTTCCCTGGGTTTGTTTTACCCGCAAGTGCATCTGTTCCACATATGAACTTCCAAGACAGGATAAGAATGTTCAGCCTTGAAGAGCAAAAAGGGTTTAAGAAACCCTCCTTTTTATTCTGTAGCAGCAGCAGCAGCAGCAGCAAAACTGAAATTCCGCACAGCTTCACTCCAGAAGCGGCAGTTCTTCGAAAGCGGCCATTTATTTAGGGAACGCCAACCAAGGCTAAAGTCAAGGTCAGGAGATCAGATTTGAAAGGAGAAGGAAATTCCCTGAGTCACGAGAGCTGCCATGTGTGCACGCACACACGTGGACAGCCGGCCTCTTCCAGCACATACCATGCCATTAAACACAGACAACAGGATGTCGATATATCTTGCTAGACTTTATTTAAGCCAAAAATACATCAAGCAATAAAGTTAATATTTTTGTGTGCATTCTCTGCCCTTTCAGCCCATATATATTATATTACTTTCTGGTTCAGGAGGGGCAGAGAGGAAGAGCTGAAGTGTAGGAAAATAAGGCCACTCAGAAGGAAGCTGCATTAATTTGTTTGGTTGACATGTTTTATTAAAAAGAATAAATTCACTTGCATTAAAAAAAAGAGAGAGAGAGAGAGATGGGTGCAAGAGAGAAAGAAAAACTGCCTTTGTTTTCCAGAGCTATTTTTAACGATTTGCATATTTTGTGTATAAATATTTTTTTTCATAAAAGCCTCCAAATCGGGGGAGGGGTGTGTGCTCCGCTGCCACCACGCCTGCTGCACAAAATATATTACAGACATTTATATGGATGGCAGGGAGGGGGGATGGAGAGCTGAAAATTTCCAGGCTCCCCATGATGGATGGCGGACGAGGCTTCCCTTGACGCTTTATTGAGTTTCCGATGATTATCTCTCGTGGAGACATTTTTTATGGATGACGGTTGAGCTGTCATGGTGGACCACGGGGGGAAAGCTACCTAACAATAATAACACTTTAATCTTTTTACTGCACTGCTCCCTAGTATCTCAGATTCATCTTCCCTGACACCAGCCACTTGATTATCTGGCCCCTCCCTGGATAGGCAAAGGAGGGAAATAAATAAGGATACAGGCTCTCTCCCCCCCCCCAAAAAGAGAAACATACAAAAGTGAAAAAATGCAGCCCAGGAAAAAAAGGTCTAGCCTGTCACTCTGATTGCTCCTTCTGTAGGTGTTGAGATCTGTTAGCATTAATGCCAGCTGGGGGAGGTCCCGGCTATTAATTACAATATTTTAGATTTGGCTTCTCTCATCGTTCGCTTGCTTGGATTTTGGAATCCAGCAGCCACCCAGGAAGGGGAGGGGGCTGCCTCCTGCTGCTCAGGAGCCACCCTGGCGGGAGCGGGGCTCAGCTTCAGGGGCATCTCTGCTTGCTTGCTTGCTTACCAGCTGTTTGTTTATTTATTTTATTTCATCATTTATGCGGCTGCCCATCTCATAGGCATGACTCTGGGTGGCTAACAGTTAAAAACCGTAAAGAAGAACCCAAATTAAAACTAACAGGAGTATCATAAAATAACGTAGCCGCCAAGAACGCTCCTTCAACACAATCGTGACCAAGAAAACACCCACTCGTGTATCATGCCCTGTATGAGGTCTGGGGTTCTGAGTGTCCTTCGCCATAGACCAGAGCTCCAGTAGCACCGCGGGAGGGTGGAGAAGACGTCCAGAGTAGTCCTCGGGATGTCCCAAGGACTGGCGGTGGGCAGAGCCGCCAGCGAATGGCAGGGATCTGGCACGCCCGCACAGGGATGCCCATTGACTGGGCTCCCCTGTCTCTGCCCTCTCCCCAGTGGGAAGCATTGTAACATGGAGATTTTCCAAACCCATTTAGATAAAGTGGGTTGTTACATTTCTTTTATGCCTTGAGGACTAGGATCATTGATTTAATTCCAGTAGAGTTTCAGAGCACAGGAAGGCCCACGTCTGCCAGGCAGCCTTTAGCCATCATCCCCAAGTGGTTGCCTTTCAGATGGGTTGGCCTACAACTTCCGTCACCCCCAGTGAAGAGTTCTGGGACAGCGCATCTGCGGGGAACCAGGTTGCCAAAGGGGGGTGAACAGAAAGGCGGCACAAACCAGTCTGATCTCTGCCTGGCACTTCAGGCAGGGAGCCACAAGAAAAGCACCCTGCAGGTGGAAGCTTCTGCTAGCTCGTGGCCTGAGAGCACGCACCCCCAGGCCGAAGAGCCGGCAACAGAAAGGCCTTCCCTGTGTGGGCCTGTTGCAGAAGGAGAAGATGACGGTGCCTAGTGTTGGTGCCTAGTGTTGGTCGGGCGAAGGCAGGGGAGTTATTCCACGGAGACCATTAGCAGCGTGGCTCTGTGAACCCTCCGTATTCGGAAGCAATCTACCAGGACAGTTGCCCTTCCTGTTGTGTTTGTGGGTCTCTCGGAGGCACAGTGTTGGTCTCTCTTAGTCCTCAGCAATAGAAGCCCGTGGGGTGACTTTGGGCCACTCCCTCTCTCTCAGCCAGCCTACCTTGCAAGGGGGAAATAACAGGAGGAATACTATTCAGCTTCTCAAGGAAAGGCAAATGTAAACATAACAAACAAAAAAATGAAAACTGATCCAATGGTCTGATCGTGCAGCTGGTTTTTCTGTCCTTTTCTTGAAAAATCTGTAAGGATGTACTGTATGTTCCAGGGTGGGGAAGAAACCGGCCGTGTTTCTTTTTTAACAAGAACTTAACAAATCTCCCATTGAAACTCTTCTAGCCTTTAAATATTGTGCTTCAAATTTCACAGTGTAGTTCAACCATTGAAAAACACATCCAGGAATGTGTCTGTTAGGGGAAGATTTGCCCACAAATGTGTACATCAGTGAAAATAATATTTCAAATTATTTATTTGTTTGTTACCATTATTTATCATATATCATCATTTATATACTGATCTATTCCAAATGACTCCCTATATTATATTAGGAAAATTCTATTTGGTTATTCGTTAGTTTTACATCTAATGAATTTACATCTTACCCCTCCTCCAGGATTTCAAGGCATTGCCTTGTGCACATTGGAACTGTGCAGAATAACGTCTCTGCCTTTTTAGGCAGAGCTGTCAAAAACAGGCAAACAAAACTGATTCAGCAGCAGAATGACCCAAAGTTGATCAAGTGAAATGGGCAGGTTCGCCCATTGTTGGGTATCTGGAAGCTCCTCTTCTTTTGGCATTCAGGGTGGGTTTTCTGAAGCTGCTTTCATACTTGGCAGAATTGTTTACCTATCACTTCCCCCCCCCCACACACACACCCCCTTTGGAGCAGCCTTGAGCTAGAGCGTGTTGCTGTGTCCCTGACAAACCATTCTTCTCCCACCGTCCCCTGCAGTGCTGGTCACCCGGGAAGATGACTTCAACAACCGCTTGAACAATCGGGCCAGTTTCAAGGGCTGCACGGCTTTGCATTACGGCGTGCTGGCTGATGACTACACCACAGTCAAGTTGCTCCTCGAAGGAGGTAAGGGTGGCACGGGGGTGGAGTGGGGGGACTGGGCCTTCTCTCCCCATGGAATTGCCCATGAAGCTCTAGAGATCTCCTTGTGGAATTGGAAACTAGCTTGCCAGATCTGGAGCTGAGCCTTCCAGCAAGCTGCCAAGTGTGGTTTTGGGATTAAAAGAGAGGGAAAGGAAGGTCTCAGGACAGAATCTGTGCAGAGATGGTGGTGCTGAGTCTCTTGGCCCTGTCTGTTCTGCTCCCTCCCTGCTTTTTCTCTCTGAGTTTGTCCCCATTCTGTTTGCTTCGCTTCCTTCTGTATCTTTAGAAGGGACCCACCCGAAGCAGTGATGTTCTCTGGCTACTTGTCTGCAGAGAAGCTTCTGTTCTTTGGGGGGGGAAATACCATTTTGTGTCTAGCTTTTCAGATTTCCCTTATTCCTTGCTGTTCAACACATTTTATCACAGATTCCCCCAAAATGGTTTCCACCAAACGTATTGGCTTGCAGTTTCCCAGCCAGTATTTGGAGGAAAGCCAAGTTAGGAAACACGGCCTTCAGAAATGAATGCTTGTCATGGTCTGCTAAGAAGAAGGGCAGAAAGAAGGTTGTCAAAGATTCCGGGTTAATCACTGTGCAATTGGATGGCTCCAAGTTATATGAAGAACTTCCCTCACTCATACAAGCCTGCCTGCACTGCGGGACCAGCCACCAGACTCCTGCTTGTAAGAGTAGCTAAGATGGCAGTCACAAGGGAGAGAGCCTTCTTGGTGGTGACCCCCTTCCTTGCAGATCAGTGTGCCAACACCTGGGCACTTAACCCCATCAAGCAAGTCCCTCCTTGTGGCCTTCTAGATATTACTAAAATTCAATTCTTGGCCCCTCTCCTCTCTTCCCTCTTCCCATCCCGTTTCCCATGGCCTGTAGTCGAGTGACGGCATTAGCTACCTGGCATTCTGTGGTTGTAATGAATGAATTTTGAAGCTTATTGTCATTTTTATTGTTCTTAGAATTTGCCGTCGTTTGTGCTTTTAAATTTTGTTGAGTGCCTCTTTAGGAGGGTTTGCCTTAACCAGTGTTTGGTAAAACTTTCAAATAAAGAATATAGTTAGCTGCCAAGAAGGAAACACGTGAACTCCGGTACGTTTCTGTCTGTCTGACTGGCTGCCTCGCCTGCTGGGATTCGGCAGAGACTGGCGGATGGGTGAGCAGCTGGGTGTTTGGGGTAGGGAAGGACCCCCTTCCACGGCCTAGAGCCTGTCCAGGGGGCTTGGATCTTGCGTTTGCAAACGAAGCAAAGTGTTAGGAGGAGAGCAGCTTGGGGGCTCTTTCAATACACACAATAAGTTAGCTGGCCGATGAATTGGGGCATCCTGCTTGGACCTCTTTCAGGGTTGTCTGCTAGTCTTCACGTGGGTATTGCCCCGTTTCTCCAACAGGCATTCCCTTGTCTAGAGTTCAGATTCCCCACACCAGGGCTACTGCAAACCTGGCTGAGCACACATTCCTGTGATTTTGTTGGAAGCCAGAATCTTCAAGCCTCCGAGGCCCACTTGGCTTGGTGGCTTTTTCAACAGCCTGCAGTCCCTCTGTGCAGAATGCCACCGTGGCTTGCACTTTGACATCTGAGAGGTGGGCGCTTCCTCTGTGCCTTCAGCAAACAGGCACCCTCTGCCCCCTTTTTTATGCCCCCTACACCTGCCTTTTCATAGCGTGCCCTCTCGTCCAGCCAGCGCTTCCTGGGCTGGCTGTTCTGCCCTTGGGGCCAAAGCCATTAACTCCCCCCACCCCAGCTCCGCCCACCGTGCTTAAACACAGGGCCCCCTTTCCGCCCTCTTCCTGGCTGGAGGCAACCTCCCCCTCACCCTTCACCCCGCTGTTGGCCTTTGGTGGCCTTTCTGCTGAATCACTTGACCCTTCCTTGTGGTCAGTCTGTGTGTGCCCAGCAGACCGCGAGAGGCAAGCCCCTTCTCGCTTCTACTCCGCAGTCTCCTGACCTGAGCTGACACCCAGGAAGCCGCGTGCCCGGGCGCCGGAGCGTCTTCCTTGCCAGGCCTTTATTTGGGCACTTCCGTAATTAATCGATCCTCAGGTTTTGTCTGCCTTTGATTGAGGAAAAGGGCCTAGAGCTCCCGCACGTGCAGGGTGCTGCGGATTAATTGCACACGCCTGCCTGCCTGCCTGCCTTTTGAAGCAAGGCTTTATTATTATGGCATTTCCATGGTTAGAAATGAAAAGTTTTGTTACCCTTCTGGCTCTGGGGCATTTCTCCGCCAAGGAACAACAGTCCTCGGAAATGGAAGGCACCCTGAGAGGAAGGAGAATGTGTCCCAACTTCATGGAGCCAAGTCACTACAGCTGGATGAGTTGGGGCAGGATTTATGCGCAGCAGGCTTAGCCCGAGGCTGGAAGCATTGGGAGCATTTGACCACATTGCAAAGCACGTTCACATCCTGTATTGTGTTTGCATTTCTCAGTCATCCCACGGCTGGGTGGTGGTGCAATATCCTGCAAAATGCTTTGTTGCCATTGCATTCGGAGATGTCTTTTATTCAATTTTAGCCCTCTGCAATCATCGACTCCTGGTAGATTTCAGTCAGTAATTTGCAAAAAACATATCCCTGGTCCAATCAAACAGGTCAAAAATTAAAATCACAAAATAACATTAAAAATAGACATTCTGACAAGAGCAAACAAACAACAAGAAATAAATAACTAGATTAGGCAACAGCTAAGGAGGGTTGTGATTGAGGTGCATATTTCAAGGTATGACCAGAGATCAGAGACTCTGGAACCAACACGATTGCCCAGCCCTAGGCAGCAGCAGAGGACCGCATGAACAGCTCCGGCAGCGAAGCATCTCCACCATGTGGCCAAACGTGACAGACAAGGCACTCAACCAGTGTGGCTTGAGTGAATCAAGTGGTTTACTGGCACTGGCAATCCACTGGCAGCCATGAGGTGCCAGCAGCAGTGACTCTCAGACAGCTGCGGTCATCAGAGAGGCCCAGAAAGGCAGCACGGCCGCACTCCAGGCTGCCAGTCAGAGAGGAGTCAGACCTCTCCATCGCTAAGAGAGGTGGCAGGAGAACCAAGGAGCACTGGGTGTGGCAGTGTGTCAGAGGAGGGAAGTGAACCCCAATAGAGCAGGGGTGTCCCATGCTGGCCTAGCAAAGCCCTGGACCCTGAGGAAGAACAGGCCCCTGTTGGATCTGGTCCATCCACACAGAACATGGGAGTTCCAGCCCTGTCTCCACAAGTGAGGCAGTCTCCGGAGCTGGGTTATTCATGTTACTAAACCAACTCATGAGGAACAGACAACTTCCAGAGCAAGTGAGAAGAGGGGGAAACCAGTCACCCTTATTCCCTGGAGTTCATCAAGCAAATTCTGCTCTTTCCCAACTCTGCCTACTCCCCATCCACTTTGCACTCATGCAGAAAAGGGGGAAAAGAAGAAAGAGACACTGAAAAAGCATGAAGAAAAGACGTAGAAAGAAGACTGACATCTTCCCTGGTAGTTTCAGAGACAGAGGCACTGACAGGACATCTCGTTCTCAGGACCTTCAGCCTTCAATGCTAAGTGATGAAGAGGAATCCTCATATCTTGTGAGGAAGTGAAGGGGAGAGTCATGTGAGACTTCGGAGGCCCATTCCTCATGGGATTAAGATCTGGAGGAAGGTCACCATTTAGAAGATAACTCCATCAGTGCTGACTTATTTTCAGTGCAACTTAACTTGAAGTTAAGTCCCAGCAACCCTCCAATCAGTATTTCCAGAGGGTTCCAAAGTACTGACAGGATGTCCCTTTTGGGCTCTAACAGGGACCTTAGGATGCCATTTTGGGTGGAGTGGGTGGAAACAGCCAAACCAGGGTACTGTTTTGGGCCTTGCAGTGGAAATCACCAGATGTAGCAATAATGAGCCAGTACCAGCCCTGATTATTAAATTGGATGTCCCCAAAGAAGAAGAGACACTGACAGATCCAATGGAATGTAAAATGGACAGAGCCCTGAAACAAGTCCATGAAGCTGTAGCATTAGGAATGAGGGCTGCAGCTGTTTCCTCCCAAATCACTTAAGCTTTGGTGATAGGGACATTTGGCTTCCTCCTTGAAGTCCTAACAGAATCCAGAAGTCTGTAAGAGAAGCCAGAGCAGCAGAGCTCCATGGTGGTCCTGTCTGTGGACTGCTTACAATTTGCAGCCAAATTCCTGGTTTCAGGAGTGGTGGCGTGGAGGCCTGTGCCTCAGTTGATAGGTGAGGACCATCAATTGAGAGCCTACCTTGCAGTTGAGCCCTTTTGGGGAAGTCTATTGACTCAGTCATAGCAGAAAACAAGAACAAAAGGAAATCCTTGTATTCAGACCTAAGGAAGGAGATCAGCTACAAAAGAAGTCCTTCATTCTTTTGGTCCAGAGACCACACACTGATCCTGTTTTTTGCTAATGGAGAAACAAATGTTGGATTCCAAAGCCCAACAGCAGAAGTACACCATCACCAGCTATGGCAGAAGAGGCAAAAAACCAAAGAAAATACTTCTCGTATTGATGCCACCATCTCTCAGGTGAGGTGATGACTGGGGGAAAAAATGGGTGCGCCTGGGAGTGCAGGTGCAAGTTTCAGCGGCAGTTTGGTGGGGATATGCTGTGCTGTTCACGAGAAAAACAAGAGACAGGCTCCTGCCATCCCCCAACTCCAAAAACAGAGAGAGCTGCCGAGGATGAAGGAAGCTTGTTGAGATGGGCAGCTGTAGAAATCAAATAAACAAACAAATCATTTACTGGAAGTGGCATAAAAGAGCCCATTCTTCTGCAGGAAAGTTTCTCTGTTGTGTGCGTTTTCCATTCTCTTTATAATGCTGAATAAAATGGTCTGGGGAGCCACCCTAAATCTCAGACCACTGAACAGCTGCGTCAGGCCCCAGACCTTCAAGGCAGGGACTCTAAAGGTGATAGTAGAAGCTGTCACACCAGGAAGTTTCCTAACCTTGGTGAACCTGTCGGAGACCTATGTACACAGCCTTGCC